TCCCCCCCCCCCCCCCAACCTGTCCATATCCATTGATCCTTTTGTCCCTTTAGTAAAGTAACCAGTTGTATTGTTCCTGTTAATTCCACCATCTTCTCACGCTCCCACTCAAATAAGTTTCTTCTCCATTGTAGCTTCCACTACCAAATCTCCTTCCCACTGGCCCATTTGATTTATTAAACAATTCTGTTGAGTAGAGATCAAGAATAATCTCAAGTATTTTACTGTCAAGCAGTCCTCTCCCATCCAATAATCGATCCAAAATCTTGTTGATTGTACTTCACCAACTCTCCATTTTATAAGTTTTATAGTGAGCAAATAGTTTGGATTTATATCCTCGCTAAATTCTTTCGCTAATCTGCGAAATTCTTGTAATGAATGTTTATTAAATGTTGTAAATGCAATATAAAATTATTTGTATTTTGACTTGAAAACTTTAACTTTTAGCTTTTAGGATAATTAGTTTCTAATATGGATCGGCCTCTATGTTTATTTACACTTTTAGACTAAAGAGCTGTTGTAGCAAAGAGAATGTTAAAGATTTAGAAATTGTATGTTTACTGTTTTTAAAAATATATATTTTTTATTTTTTAATTGTTTGTCTTTTGAATGTATTACTGTATTTTTAATAGTTTGTATTTTAATCAATTAAAAAAAACAAAGAAAAGAGGATGTATGTTGTTTCTGTTTTTTAGTTTTTGAAACTAATTTTCAAATTAATTAGTAGATTTTGAATGAGAATTTGATTATAAGATAGTGTAGAATAATTTTAAAAAATGAGAAGAAAATCAAACAGAACCTTAATATATTGAATAAGTGATTCATGACAGTTGGTTTATGGAGCTTTTAAAACATACCAAGATATAATATTACACTAAACAGCATTGCATCATGCAAGGAGGAACATGTACGTTAGCTATAATATGGGTTCCTACTCTCACTCAATTTCAAATAAATACAATATTATTATATATGAAATTTGTTTGGATACAAACTAGAAGCATTTTTTTAAAAGTATTTTCTTAAAAACTTTATTGAAAATAAAGAATATTTATTAGTAGATGCAACCAATGTAACTGTTACAACGTAAATTATAACTCTTATGACATGAAATTGCCTATCTTTTTCTTTTAACATCTCAGGAGACCACACACGTATTAGAATAAAAGATTAGAGTTTGAATCTATGTTTATCATTTGTTAAAAAAAAAAAAAGTGAAATAAAAAGGTGTTGCAATTGCATTATAGAATTCCTTTGATTTAAAATCATAATGTAATTATATGGGTCATTAAAGTGTGCATAACACCTTTTTATCAATATTGTGGCCGTAGCAGGTATTGTAGTTTGCAATTTAGAACATTCTCATCTAAATCTTGATTATTTTTTTTATTATCCAATTTTTTTTTATGTAAAAGAAGTGTTAGGATACATAACAAAATTCTATTTTTATAAGGTCTTTTAACATATGACTAAAAATAAAATTATAAATCTTAGGATCAAAGTGAACAATATTTTATTATTGTAATGTGTGAGAATTTTTGGTACTAAAAAATATAAGAGAGATATTATATCACTCATTTATCTATGTTTTTTGAGTCCGTAACTGAATTTATATTGGGAGTATATTCTTCTTGAAATCCACTGAGGAAATTGAATTTTAAGAAAGCATGAATATAAAAAAGAATATGAATTCCAAAATAATAGGAGGATCTGTCGCCTAATTCATAATTTACTTTTCATTTTTTTTTGTCAATTTTCTCTCTTTCCTCGTCTTAATGGGCAAGGATCGACGGAGTTACACATAAAATGCATGTTTTCTTCATTTTTGACTCTGGTTTTCTTTCTTGCAGCTGCATATAGAGATTTTAGACATAAAAGATTGGGAATGTAAACACTTTTTTAGGTAAAACAAGATTTTCCCGCAGCAAGAATAATGGCTCTGTGCTGTTAGCCTGTTAGTATTTTTTTTTTTTCTTTTTCATTGATACCAGTATTGCATGTTTTTTTACAATAACTAATCTCTACTACATATGGAATAACGAAAGTTTTAGAAAGTATCTTTCTACATCAACGACATTATACTATATATTAATATACCAACCTACACGCAGGACGACATGCATGTATATATTGACGAACCATATACATATATGTTCCTTCGCGTGAAGGAGAGCTTTCTGTGTTTTGCTTGTTTCATTATGTTAATTTATCTCACAAAATGAGAAGCGTATGATTCAAAATCTAATATTGTTTATGTATTCCCCTTCATTTCAAAAGGATAATTGGAAGAGTTCAAATGAGCCTTAAACTAAGGAACTTATCCAATATATACCATAATACCAAGTTACCAACTATCTAGGAGCTGTTTCTAAAAGCCTACGGCTATGATGACATTATGAAGTATTTGAAATTTTATTAAACAATAATACAAGCATCCTGACGAGTGGAGTTTCTCTGTAATAAGAAAATGCATTCGATTGAATGAAAATGCAGAAACAAGTTCAATTAATTACTCTTAGTAACTAAAAAAGAGACATTAACATTATTGCTTGACAAACCCTTTATCCCGTTTTTATGCTTTGTATTAAATGCTTCTCGAGTTACATTCCTAATTGAGTAACAATACATAAGATCCACGGTATCTAATTAGTATTTTGGCTGTGTTTCCGAGTGTGGAGCAGATAATTGTTCAGGACCTATATGATGAGTTATCTAAAGTTCTATGTTTATGCTGGTATAAACAGAATGTTAGTTTTAAAATAAAATATACAGCTTACAAGGTATAGTTTATCTATTTACTGCAGGAAATTTAAAATGATCATAGAGAAGAGATTTGATGAAAGTGCTGACATTTTAGGTAAGTAAGATTAGCAGTAATTTACATGAATTACATTCAAGTACTCATTTTATCATATTCAACTAGCTAGAAGCCATCAATGACTAAGAAATTTATACAGCAAGGGCTGAAGGCCAGGACCCTCCCACCATTAGAGATGAACATCCATTGTTTAATCTTCCAATGGATGAGGGAATTCCCATTTTTTACATTCCTGAACTAGACTTTACAAAGGTAAATAAATATTTACTCGTACATAATCTTGGTTTTTTTCTAATATTTCATGATTAATAAGTAATAGAATTCCTTTTATTTTCTAATGCATGGTGATCTACTTAATTTCTTGTCCGGGGAAGTTTTTTGAGGATATAGATGACAATGGAAGTAAGTCTCTTTCTGAGGATTTATTTATATTCTTGGTCAATTTCCTTCCTTCTCTAATTGAATTGAAACACTAAAATTTTATATTCTTTACCAAAGCAGATCCCATTATTCATAAATGTGAAAGTAAAGAGTTCCACGAATGCCAGATAAATCCTTCAGAAAACAGTACAGAACTTACTGGTTCATCAGTATTTATCAGCACCATCCATAAACAAAAGCAAGACCTGATTGAAAAGTTGATTGGTCCCAATGAAGGCCATATATATATTCCAGTAACAAAAAGAAAACAGGAGTCGATACTTAAAGACTCGCTATGTAACCCATCCAAAAAGCGCCAAAAGCATGAAAGAGAGGAATCCATTGAGAAAAGGAAGAATAACAAAATGAGTTACAGACCATCAGATACCCAATTCTCCTTAAAAAGATTTGCTAATCACAGAGAGCAGAAGAATTCTAACAATGATCGAAATACTGTGAAGAAGGATGAGCAAAAAGTTGGTCCAAGTCATGTAAGTACAAGAGTTATGTGCTTGTCTGATTCAGTTTATGTTCCAGTTTGTTAAAGATTAAAAACAAAAAGTCATTCTCTTGTAAAATGATTTAATAATTTTTTTAAAAAATTTTAAAAAACAGAAGTTAATTTATGATTATTCACAATTATAAAAATATTTTTTTAAAAAAATAAAATTAATTTTATAAGAAATTATTTAAAAATAGCTTCTAATTTTAATAAGATTTTAGATTTCTTTTAGCTTCTGATTATTTTTGAAAATCTAAAATAAATGCATGGAAACAAAAAAGATTAATTATTTTTAAACAAAAAGTAATAATTCTTTTAGGAAATTTTTATCTGAATAGCAGTCACTTTTGTTTACTAACTTCCTTAAAAAAAGTGGATACTCAAAAACCTATCTAACAATGTTGACTAGTAAGTGATAGATAAAAGAGAAGAAAAAAAAAAGTATCACCTGTGATAAATAGTGCATGTATAATGGTGTAAAAAAAATACATGTAATTATAAGATAAAGATAGAGAAAAATAATGAATTTTAATTAGATACTTAGAAAAACGAAATATCTAAAAATCATTGCTCTACTAAAAGAAATTTTAAATGAAGAGATTATTTTTCAAAATTCAAGCTGTCTACTTGTTTATTACTATACTTCAAGTGAAGAGATTTGTTACTCTTTTACAAAACACATACGTGCGTTAATCTAACTGTCTATTGTTGTACATCAAGTGTAATATGTTTCTTAATTAATTGTTCCATTTCTTTCTATAGTCACGACTGACATCGGATGATGCTGCAAAAATAGAGGAGAAACTTGAAAACTCGAAGAGAAAACTTCATCAGGGATACCAAGCACATGAAAGAGGTTTGTCCTCTGCTTGAGTTTTGTTTCTTTAATGCATGATTTTAAATTATGGTCGACAATTGTAATTGCGGTTATAATATTGTTGTTGCGGTATAATTGTAATGATTCACAATTGCAATATGATTTTAAATCATAAAAAATTCTACAATATAATATTATAATATGACTATAACACAATAGATATGTAACATCATCTTATTCTATTTTTTTTTCCAAAATATATACATAAATTCAAGTTTTAATATTCTAATATAATAAATTTGGTTACATGTAATAGTAGCAAACATTATACCCCAATTGTTATTTCAATCGTAATTATAACCGCAATTTAGAACCATGATCTAATGTTTTCTTCCATTGTAGAAATTAGAAATTTCTATCTATCAATAGTACTTCTTTCTTGAAGCATTAATTCTACATTCTGTGCCAACTCTTGTTTTCGATAACAAAGTGCAACTTAATTTCTATATGAACAGAAAGAAGGTGCACAAGGTACTTTGACGGATATGAACTTAAGATTCCTAAAGACGAGCGCAGAAGCTCACGCCCAAGATACAGCAACCGAAGTCGGAGATAAAACTGATCTTTTTGTTGCAGATTTGGGTTTTTATAAGTCTTTGATATCAAGTTTGTTTAGATAACAAAAATACTTATGAGAATCTTAAGATACAATTTTGTAACTAACAAATAAAATCAAATAAGAAGTGAAAATGAAATATGTAACTTTCATTTATGTTTATTCAAACCCTTGTATTATGTTTTTATCTTTTTCTTTCATATGTTTTCTTTTCTTAGTAGTGGTTTTAGAGAAATTTATTTAAATAGTCTATCATATTGATCAAATACTTATAGGCACCGGAAAGGAAGTACAATTGCTCTATTTGATGCAGTGGAATGCACCTTAAAAATATGCAACTAAGATACTACATGACCTAGATACATATAAGCCTATTTTGCAGATGAAACATGGCCTGGTTTTTATGTCAGTGGGTTGATTGTTTCCGGTTGTCTATGGTGAGGGATGCATTATCTTTGCCTGTGGTTTTCCAACAACCAAACCTGATGTGACATTGTGCATAGAAAGAAAAAAGTAGATAATGTTTAGGGTTTGGTTAGTTGAGATTATCTTTGTGTTACCTCTTGTTTGGTATTGATATATAGCTGTACCAAATTGTATGAACTGAGTATTTTTCATATTAGTCCCCATTAATATATTTCTTTCGCTTATGAAAAGAATCATTTAGATCAAAATGGACTAGGAGGCTTAGTTGTGTTTATGTCGATACTGATATAGTCATCCTTTATACATTTCCGTCTTGAAACACTGGCTAGAAAGGCACATGCTGAAGATTTAATTGAACTTGCTTGTTAGATCGTTTTCCAGAACTTATACTGAAAACTTTTGTAAATCTTTTTGTAAAATCATATAGAAATCTTGGAACTTGCGGAGAAATTGAGAGATTATGGAAAGAAAAATTATCATTAAAACTTGTTTGAGATTATATTAATTAGCTAACAACAAAATATAAAAGATAAAATATGCACCAATAACAAAAAAAATATCCAAAATTTATTCAAAAAATCTAATTTTGAATAAGGCAAAATCTCGTGACTTTAACATTTCTTATTAAAATTTGTCAGAAACGTGCCAAGTTTTAGATTTGTGAACTTCATATTTGGTTTCAAAAGTGCTTTAGTTATTATATGTATGAACTTTAATGAATTCAAGTTTATGTAACCAAATATTTTTCATCAAACACCACTCTCATCAATTTTTGGCAAAATAATCATGATCATGCATTAACTAATTCAAACTTGAAACAAACATTATTTTTCATTAATTATTTCAATCTTTGTCATCTCTTTTGTTGATAAGAAACAATTCTCTTTGAAAGAGACATATTAATCATTTTTCAATATTTGTACAGCTCTAAGGAGGTTTTCATCCAACTTTGGAATATAAATAACACCCTTAACAATATTATCTTTCTTGGTTGATATAAAAATTATTCCTTTTTTTACTTGTAGAATTTCTCTATTTTTCAAGCTTGACTTTTGATGAACTAATCTATCAATAAAGGTAAAAATTAATAGATATTTAGTCATGTGTTTGGTGCAATCACCGTTAATGAGCTAAATATTCTTATGGATTGAGTTGTTGTGATATTGTAAATATTGATATACTCATCATCATTGTTTTCTTTAATCACATTTATCAAATTTTCTGGTTATTGTTCAAACTGTTTTTTTTTTATTATGCGATATTTTGACCTTGTTTATTGCAAAAAAAAATAAAAATTTGCTGTATTACCGTTTGAAATTGTTTCTATTTAATCGTTGAAATGGTTAATATAGTAGGGGACCCAGTTGAATCAGCATATTAAAATTATCATGTGCATAGTTAATCTTCCGTGTGCATCTTTCTAATGTATACATTGTTCTTCATCGTGTCAAGTTCAAGCCTTCTTCATTTATAGATTGGTTTTTCACAAGTTTCTTATTCTCATCATGACAAAGACAATAACCACTATAAGAAAAACGCAAATTTCTCACGAATAATTTTTGACGGATAATTTCTGACGAATTTGGATATGTTAGAAAATATAAATTTTTTGACGGAAAAATCCATCGAAAATTTATGACAGGAAATTTTGTTAGTAAAAATCTGTGGAAATTTTTTACGAATTTTTTCGTCAAAAATTTTTAACGGATTTTTCTGTCGAAAAATATAAATTTTCTGACGGATTTGTATTCGCCGAAAATTTTCGACAGATTTTTCCGTCGAAAAATTTGTTTTTGATGAAAAAAACATTAGTAGGAAAAGTTATATTACTGATGAAATATTCACAACAAATTTATATATGTGTGTGTGTGTGTGTGTGAGGAGCGTTATAATAACACCGGTATAATTTTGCTAAGTATTACACCGGTCAATAATTTTATATTAAATGGGAATTTTGTAAATTCAACCGTTAAATTGAAAATTCTTTACTCTTAAATCATATATACAAAATTTTATATTAGAAAATAAAATAAGGATAAATACATTTTTTTTTGAATTTTATATGTTTGATTTAAGATAAATAAATATATTAAATTAATTAATAATTTATATTTAAAATGTTAAAATTTAATTTATAAGTATGTTAAGTATATATAAATAAAGATTAATTAAATATATTATAATAATTATTATTATTCGTAATATAATTATTATATATTATTATATTTTTATAGTAATCTAACCGTTAGTTTATAAAATTTACATTTAATATAAAGTTAATGAGCAATGTGTAATACTTGGTAAAAGACCGGTGTTAGTATAATAAGAGACAGAGAAAATGAATGGAAGATAAATAGTTAAATAGTTGTTTGATTATATGTAGTAATAGATAAAGAGAAATATACGTCATCTTGTAACTAATTTTTGTCTCCAAAATTATGGATAATTATAGAAATAAATAAATAATTTTTAATTATTTTGCTTTTAAAAATATTTAAAGACACCAAGTGTGTGTTTCCTCTTTCTCCTAATATATATAATGGTATGTGATAACCTAATTTAATATATGAAGAGAGATCCTTTTTACTCCAAGAGTAAGTTTACCTGGACTTACTTCGTTCAATAACTCATGTTCAACATTAAATTTCAACGATCTAACTGTTCAATTTAAAATTCTTAATGCATAGATCAATTCTGCAAATTTTTAGAAAATTTGAAAATTGTTTGATACTTCATTTCATTAATTCAAATTGATGGGTAATCATAAAATTATTTTATACATTGATTCAAACTAATGAAACAAAGTATCAAATGATTTTTAAACTTTTTGACAATTTACATATTTGATCTAAAAATAAATAATTTAAATTATAATTTTAAATAGAAATAAGTAGATATTGTTAATTATAAAAGTAAGTATATATAAATAAATATTAATTAAATATATTATTATTATTCGT